AGTTCTTCTCTCTCCTTCTCCACCCCTATTACCCGTTCTTTCTCGCTGTTACTTTCTATTCGCATTAAGGGTGGCTACCTATACCTTCGTGTACACGCTGGGAGTGGAACATTGCACTCATGTCGACGATATGGCGTCGACCTGCCGTTTCGTGAGAGAATGCGTGGAATACGATAAAATACTTTAATGTAATTCTTGATAATAGACACTTATCGAATTGTTTCACATAATATAATTAGAAATATAATATGATTATCGCACGTTTAATTAAATTTAATTTATATAAAATAAAATTAACGACGTATCTTTTTATATAATTAACATTTAAATATGCATTTTTATAATAAGTTAAATACTTTCGCCATAATTTACGTGACTATCGTTAACTTTACAACACCATTTATTCAATAAACAATCATTCGGAATATGAAATTTCCATTTTTATTAATCTTATTTATTTTCCGATTTTAAAGAATTTTCATAACTGACGTTATTTTCTATGATTTCCATAATTGTTTCCCAATTGTTTTTTTTTTCATGAAAAAATAATGCGAAAATTGCGGATTCAGTTTTGAAATCGATCCTCCACGACTCTTTGAGTCGAAGTCACGAGCCGCGAGCTCTCGTAGTCGTAGGAGAAAAGAGGAAAGGCACAGCGTGAAGGAGAGAGAACAACTTTCTGCGCGCGGAGTCGCTCGTTAACGACTGTCCTACACGCTCCCCTGCCTTCCTTTTCTTCTCTCTCGTCCTGGCGATCCTTATCTGCGTCCATGCCTGGTCCATGCCTGCGTCCGTGCCGTGCAACCTTCGTCGAATTACGGTCCTCCAGGCGTTCCTGGGCATACCAGTAGAAACGCTGCCATTGCTGTAGCAGAAACAGCAGTCTCCGCGAGACTGCTGGTTAAACTCCCGGCCGCTAAAGATGCGCGATACGCCCATGAGAGTTTGATAACAAGGCAAAAATACATTTCGAATAGTCGAGAATAGTGATTAAATTTCAAATTCGATTTTCTCTCTCGCGAAAGGCTTATGCAACGTAAGAAAAAGAGTAAAGATTTTCGAAAATGATTTTAATATTTATATTTTTCGTCAG